GGAGGGAAGGTGGGTCGGGGGGGGGTTACTTCTGGGGCGCTGGTCCGTCTGCCCCCCCCTCCCCCCGTGAGCAGGGTGTCTCCCCGGGAAGGCGCGCGGGGTCTGCGGCCACAGAGTTCAAATGGGTCTGGACTGACTTTTGAGCCAAGAAAAGGCCAAAGAGGTAAAACTGTGGAAGGAGACAGAGGGGAAGGATCCCGCCCAGCGTGGTCCAGTTGGATGGCTTTTTTTTTTTTTTTGGTGTTTTTTCTCCGGATATGTTAGTAGAAAACGGGAGGGGGGTGGTTTTTCTCTCTCTCTCCCCACACACACGTGTGTGTGTGTGTGTGTGTGTATAAATCAGTGAACTGCGATATGCTAGTAGAAAAGGGTGGGGGATTTTATAGAAGGGCATGCCTATATATCTATCTGTCCATTGCTATCTATGTCTATATCCATGTCTATCCATTGATACCGATGTCTATATGTCTGTCTATCCATTGATATCCACATCTATCCAGCTATCCATCAATATGCACATATGTATGTATGTGTATCTATATCTGTGTGCCAGCCTCCTTTTCTTCTCTCTCTCTTTCTTTGTGTCTTTCTCTCATTAGACCAACTATGTAGGTGAGCCGAGAGGTTAGGGCACTGCACAAAAAGAGTGGTCTTTCTCGGGTCCGGCATGGGGAAAAAAGCAGAGACAACCCAAGCTAAAAAACAGATCAAACAATTACTTTAGTTGAACTCCGCTATGCAGTGAAAATAATGTCTTAAAAGAAACAGTGCTGGTCCGCTCCCTTGCTCAGACACATGCTGTAGCATTGCCCGAGTTTTGCTTTTCTTCCTGTTCCTCTTCATTTTCTCCTCAGTTTGAACTTTGCCTTTTCATCTCCCTGTGTTATACAGAAATCTGGGGATGTTCTGTGAGGACGTTGGGGAGATGTAAACTTTAGGTTAGGTAATGGAAAATCTCTAAGCATCTCCCAGCTATTTTTGCAATATCGTGGGCTTCTGTTAATCTTCAACATCTGGCTATTTTGAGAAAACTTTGAGCGCGTCATTATGCTTGAGTTAATACAGTTGCCTGAGATGTGACCAGAATATCATCTATTTAATTGCTGAGAGGTCACTTCCATGTATCCAAATTCTGTATCTGTAAATGGATTGAAAAGCTGGTTTTGTTCTTTTGACTTAAATCGGTGCTGTCTGATTGTCCATTATGTTTCTGTGAACAATTGTAAACAATGGTAGTTACGCTTGCAGATGATTGGGGGCTTTATTTTGCGACGGGATTGTATTTATCCTCTGTATTCTGGGAAGGAAGTAATGGGCAACTAGACTGCGTATCTTGAACTTTACGTATAAATGATCTTTTTAAATTTATAATCCCATCTGAATGGGGTTCTTTTAGGCGGAAGGCAGGGTAGGGTGGCACCTTAGAGACTAACTGCTACAGAACTGGTTTGTTTAGAGTTGGTTTTTGTTTCTTCCTGTTGGGTTGTCCTGGTTGCTTTTGGTGTCTTCTGCCTATTTCTTTGGTATTGGCATGTGTAATCCCATTTAATCCACTTGGTTGCTGAGGCAGGTTTGTCTGGCCCTTCAGCGTATTTTTCTAGTGTTTTGTCAACCAGTGTTTTTTGGAAAAGTCATTTCAGATCTCTTCCTTCTCTTGCACTTTGTGCCCTTCTAGCTCTATAAGTAAGCACAAAAGAACACATTTTAAATGGATAGAAGGAAATGCATTAGGTTTAGAGTGGTTCAGTCTGTGTAATTAAGGCCAAAAATAGTTACCGGTAAAAGATTTTTAAAGTCTGTTTCTTGGGAAACTCTTAAAAGCATTTGCAGTTTATTAATGAAGGTGAAAGCTTACAAGGGCTGTCGCTTCAGGCTTCAAGGCATAATTCCATGTTTAAATGGAGTCAGGAATCAACTGAAATTCACAGTTGTCTTGTGGATGTTTTTGTCTTATTACAGATTTGTCTGTAACCCACTGCTAGCATATTGGATGCATGAAAATGACTGAGGTTTGATTTTAATTTTTTTAAAACCCTTTTAGTTAGTGAAGTGTATTGCTTTGGGATACCTCAGTGTTCGCACTCCATGAACCCATCATGACACACTGTACAATTAAAAAAAACCATTTTTCTTGTAATATTAGGACAGCTATTCTAGATCAGTCATCCTTAAAATTAATTTTACAGCGTACGTTTTGGTGTCTCAGAGAATGAAAAAAAATATGCTAACTCTAGATGCCCTTTCTCTCTCAATTCTGCCCCCCAACTAATACAATAAGTTAATCTGTTCTTTATTAAAAGACTCTCTTACACATATTAAACCCAGCGTTCAAGGGGATAGGTGGGTCTGTGTGTGCGTGCATAAGAAACAAAAGTTCCTTGTTCCATCTGCATTTCTGTCCCCACCTGAAAAAATGACAGTACTTGCTCTTGTGTGCAATTCTTCAGTACTCTTCAGAGATAAAGCCCTTAATTTTTCCTTTGGTGCAAGACCATTTTCATTGGAGAAATACTTTATTTTATAATTCAGTTATCATGAAATATGTAGTGTGTGCTGTAATGCTTTTGCATTTCTTTGATTGATGCAGCTGGCTAATTCCAAATCGGAAGGAGTCTTATATGGGGATTAATTTCCTTCAGGAGAGCCAACTGGGAAAACTTCCCTACCCCAGATATGCAGTGTCTGTTTCTAAACTAACGGTCCATTAACTTCATAAATACTAAGTATTAGTAAAATTCAGCAGTCAAGAAAATGAGAATCCTATCCCATGCTGCTTTTTCTTGATGGGATCCCACTTGGTGCTGATGTTTATACAGAGTTCAAAGGAGCTGTGTGAGAGAAGTTGGCAGATCAAATGCTTTGTTGGGTGCCACTTCTGTGCTGTATGGAGGGAATGAACCAAATAGCAGTCTAACACTGAAAATACTTTTTTATGCTCAAACAGTGCTTTTGTTGAAGTTTCCACTGTATAACACTTTCTTATCATAGTAGGTTCTGATTCCTTGAAGGAATTATAAGTATATTGTGCCAAAATCTGTCTCTTTAAAAAGAGTCTTTCATTACTGGATTGATAATTGGAACTACCTGCTTTTGTGAACCATTGCTGTGTATCCCTTGATTTTCATGTGTCTGGCTTTCGTGACGGGGAAATCTACACATTCAGTTCAGGAAAGTTCCTTTAAATAGCGGTGTAATAAATTCATACCACTCCTGATTCTGATTTAGGATCAGATTTAGGTTGAATAGATTGCATAAAGTTTTCATTTAAAGAGAAGAGTGAGAGATTCTTCCAGACCCTAGTTTTCCACTTAAAAAAAAAAAAAAAAAAAAAAAAAGATGTTTGAGAGAAAGTTAGCAGGAAAGGCAGATTTTTGCCATATTGCAACATGTAGGAGATCTCTGTGTTATAAACAACAAAAAACGGCATTCCACAGAGAGCACTGGGTATAATTGTCTGAGCCTGCCTCTTACATGATGTTGAAATGACTCTTCCAGTGATCAGTAACATTTGCCTTGGTTATCTTCAAAATAAACTCCCCTCCTCAGGTCTGTTTTCTTCCTGCACTGAACTAAAATAACAGAACTTATCAAACTCCTAATGAAATTAGAGAAAGGAAACAAACTTGTAGTTAAACATTGGCTTTCTCTCAGGGCTGCCTTAGAGCTTGCTATAGATGAGCCACAATAATGTTGTAAAGAAAGGCCTATCTTCAGCTACAGTTGTAGCTTACTGATGAGGAACAGACTTAAATTTGGTACAGATTGAGATCATTTTGGATGCAAGACAGATTTCTAGCAAATCGGTGTCATCCAAATTGTGCTGCTTTTCAGGGAGAGCTGGAGATGATCCTTACTGTGAAGGGAGAGTAGC